GCGAACTGCAAAATGCATTTAAAAAAGTAAATATTCATTTTTACAAGCGATTATTTTGTTAAATTTTCCTTTTATTCATATTAAACTGTAATCCCAATAGGAACTTGTTACAGACTACCCTCTTGTTTCAAAGGCCAGGGATTTTAAAAAATTCCGCAGGAGTTTTTTGGAATTTTTTCATAGGCTGATAAAACAGGTTAAACATTCTATATTGTATGACGGCCTATTCTGTGAAACTATATACGCTTGGGTGTGTTCAATGTCAAGGTGCGACGCTTTATATTTGTTTCACAAACTCATGATCTTATTATCACTATTAACACTTACATTAAACGTTTTCGTGATTTTGAAACTGTTCAGCTCCGCTTTCCGTCCATTTCGACATACTGCAGCCGCAATTGCTCTATACTTGTTAAGCTGTCTTTGCGAGGTCGCTCAAGAGGTTCGAAATGAATTAAACATTGCTACTCGTCAGTTAACTTCGGAACAAATTAAGAACAAGAATTCAAGGAATCTAAGGAACCAAGATAGGATGAGTAGCTTACGTTCAAAAACTGCAGAATTGACGGAGAAAAAGCAACAATTAGAGTCATATTTTAATGATTTTTTTAATGGGTTAGTAATAACAATATATATGTTCGGTAATTGCACTTATATTAATGAATTTAGATTATTTTTTTTTTGAATTTGCGTATAGTGTATTTATTCATCGTTATCGAGATGTAGAAGCAGTAATACGAGCAGAATGCGTTAAAGAATTGGGAGTTTGGATCGTAAAATATCCTGATCGATTTTTAGAAGATAAAGTTACGAGATATCTTGGTTGGCAATTGTCGGATAAAGTAATAGCAAATGTTTTACCATGACTATCGTTAAAGCTGAAATCAATTTTAAGCTAATCATTCTTATTCCTTTATTGTATATATTATGTACAAATAATTTAGTCTCCGATTGCTAGAGTAGAGGCAATTAGATCTTTATCGCGTCTCTATATTAATGAGACGTTCATAAGTGGATTGCGCAATTTCACCGAGCGATTTAAACCACGCTTAATTGAAATGGCTTTGCGAGAGGCCGAACTTAGTGTTCGCATTACTACCATTAGTTTGTTAACCCAAATATATAAAGCAGGATTATTAGAAGATGAGGATCGTGATGAATTATCACATCTTATATATAGTGATTTACCAAAAGTGAGAAAATCAATCGCTCCCTTCGTTAAAGATTTACTAGACGAGGATTTTATTAGCTCGAAACTTACAAAGGTTCAAACTTTTTTGTCCAGTAACGACACTAAACGAAAAAACAGAAGTGCTAGTAATGAAATTGTAAATTCTGTAAAACGTGATTGGGTGTCTTTTAAATGTTTGGCGGAATTCTTGGTCAAATACAGAAAGCCGAAAGAAGATTCTCAAAAAGGCGATGAGATGATTGATGAAAACGTAGATGATGATGAATATGAAGATGGTTCTTCAATTTTAGTTATTGGAGATGTAAAAAATAATAGAATAGCATTAGCTATTGAAGCTCTCTGGGGTGAAATGGAAATATTACATGACTGGCATAGTTTAGCCGAATATCTTTCCAAAGATCATTCCTTAACAGATAACTCCAGTACTGCAAAAGAATCTCAGGGTGAGAACGATCCTATTGATGCTATCGAAGATTGTTATAGACTAAGCGAGCGTGAAGAATCTGTGTTAGTCCAGGTTTTTGTTGCTTGTCTTAAATTGATGCTTGTTGATCCATTAAGCAGAGATAAGAAAAAGGTTGGTTGGTTTAATTTCAATTTCATCATTATGAATTTTGTTAATTCTACAATACCTAAATTTGAAACTTATCTAGACTGAAGCACAAATTGAAGAAATACGCGAAGAAGTTTCGAGAAAGATGGTACATATTTTGCCCCGA